CGGGTGTTTATGACAAATGCTCACAGGCTTTGCTGTTGCTTGACAAGGAGCAAAGGCTGAGGAAAGGATGTGGTTGTCGGGTAGGCAACTTTTCTTCACTTGGTGTTGCTTGGCTACTTCAAGCAAGAGCTGCTAGTCCCACTGGTGCTTTTCATACCCACAGAGCAGCAGCAGGGCCACGTGCCACTACACTGCATTTTACTAGGAGTTGCAGCTACAGTTTTAACTCCCAAACTACATGCCAGGAATGGCACAAAGTAGCAAACAACTAACACAGCGTGAGAAAAAAACAAAAAACAGTAGATGTGCACCCAAAGCGCCCATCCACAGATAATGCCTTTTGCATCTCTGCATGATGCTTCGTTTTGAGTTTGCCTCTTTCCACTCAGTTTTCTTTGCATCAGAGGCACTGTCTTGCACCCAAGACTGGGGGGCTGGCATGTGGCATGTGTGTGTGTGACATCATGTGTGAGGTAATGCGCGTGACACACGTGTGACGTCACATCGAGAGGAAGCCAAGCCCAGAGCCCAGCATGGAGTGGCTTCCTCTCTCATACTGAGGAGGAGCCAGCCACTGAACTGCACTGTGCTCAGCTTGGCGATGGGTCTTCTCTGCCCTCTTGAAGAGGCCTAGCCCTGTGCCAGCAGGTTTTAAGGGAACCCAAGACACCTCCGCCGCTAAGAGTTGATGCACCTGCTCTGGACTGAGTGCATTTGCACCAATCAGCTCCTCTATTTGCTCCTGGTGCAGAGACACAGCATTATTACCCACCCTCAAAAGAGCTTAGCTCTTCCCAATCCAGTGTTGGCTACTTGTATATATCCATGCCCCCATTAAATCTACAGCCACACCTTTGTAGTATACATCGCTCTGACTTGTCCTTCTTCCGACTGAGTTCTTCTGGACAGAGTTACTCTATGTCTCTGCACCAGCTGATTCACTATGGGTGCCCCCAGACTGGCAGTGGTTTGCAGGAAGGATTAATTGGATTAAAGTGCTCTGTCCCCCAGCACAACAACTCCATTAAAAAAGAAAAGCATCAGAGGCCCTCCAGGCATCCTTTTTATGGTGGATTCGTGAAAATATGGTCTCATGATGCTACTGAGGTGGCCACATGCGATCCTGCTTTCAATTACTTGGGTTGATCTACACACAGCAAAAAAACCCTCTATAAATAAATCATAAATTAAAAATCATTATAACAAAAGGGGGGGAAACACTATGGAAAATGGCTTTTTTTCTCTCTCTCTCTCCAGCTGAGTATCCCTTCCACCACACCCACACTGCTCAGTACAGGATTTTTCTCAATGCAGGCCCATAACGATCTCTCTTCACTTCCCAGATAATTGGGGCAATTTATTTTATACAATTTTATTGACACATCCAGCAAAACAAATTGAATAGTAGAATGGACTACATTTCTTCGAACTGCAAGTGTGCAAGTGTTGGGAGTGGGGAATTGTACTTCTGAATGAAATTGTAATAAAGTGTACCATAATTACATGTGGAATAAGCTCAGATCTGCCAGAGACAAGTCAATCAGCAAGATCCTTATTTTTTAATCTTAAACATGACAAAGAAGCACACAGATCCATTTATAACAACCAGCAAATGAAAATGGAGTGCTTGTACTTGGGAGGACTCTGAAACCATGGACACTGAGTCACGGGGCTCTAGCTGCAACTCAGAAAGATGCCTTATGTCCCATCAAAGCAATGTTCCATTTATTTATCTTATTTATTTCAGGGGTGGGGGATGCATGACCTTCTGTGGGCCACAGAAGCAGGTAAGACAAGTGGTTATTGGGAGAGGGTGCGCTCTGTGCTGGTGTCCCATTTGTGATGGTCATTTATTTTTGTTTAATTAAATTTGCTTACCGCCATTTATCCAAAGATCACAGGGCAGTTCACAACATAGACACAGAAAATGAGAACACAAAATACGAATAAAACAAACACAAACCAATAACCCCTGTCTGACAGACACATGTAAAAGGCCATAGACTGTTAATCAGCCAAAGGCCTGGTTGAAGAGAAACATTTTCAGCTGGTGCCTAAAGATAATGTAGTGAACATGCTAGGGGAGCCTGCCTGGGGAGAGAGTTCCACAAATGTGGAGCCACCACAGGAAATACCTATTCTCGTGTTGCCATCCTCCAGACCTCTCATGGAGGAGGCACATGAAAAAGGACCTAAAATGATCACAGGGTCTGGGACAATTCATATGGTAAGATTTATTATCCTACTATATTTCTACGCTGCTCAGGAATTCAAGGTGGTGTACATGATTCTCTCCACCTCTGCAATTTTATTCTTGCAACAACCCTTTGAGAGAGATTGGGATAAGATTGGCCTGAGGTTACCCAATGAGCTTCAGGATGGAGGCAAGATATGAACTCCGAATTTCCCTAGGCCTGGTCTGACACACTTTCCCAGAACTTCCTCAATCTAGTGCTATCCAGGTGTTTTGGACTGCAAATCCTATCAGCTGTAGCAGCCCAAAATAGCTCAGTTTGTTAAAACATGGTGCTGATAACAACAAGGCTGCAGACAGCTGCACAGGGTTTTACTAGATGATCCTCCATGATTCAAGATTCAAGATGGAGAAACATATTGGAAGAACCAGCCTGACAAATGGCAGCCACATCCACTAGCGGAGGAAGAGGAGTGCAAGGGGATCGCACCGCCCCTGGCAGTGGGATCCTGGTGGGGTGCCATTGCGGCTGCCCCCCACCCACGCTGGGTGCCACACCCCCATAGGCGGCGTGCCACACCCCCGGGACGTGCGCCAGCCCCGCTCCCACCTGCTCTCTGCCCCCCCCCCCGGTGCCAGAGCATGAAGCTCCACCACCGGCCACATCACACCGACACAAGTAGACATCAGGTGGAGATTCCTTTGCTCTTCCAGCCTGTTTACATCTCTTTCGTTTCCCTCTTTCATTGGGTTTGAGTGCTATGTTTTTAGTGATCTCATGTCACTTGACAATAGTTTCAGGCTCATTTTCTGCTGACAGTGGGTTCTGCATTGATCTTTTCTTTTTTAAGCCTCTCGCTGGTTGGATTTGCATTTCTTGACTTCTATTTCTGAACCACCTAGAAGACAGGGTGAGTTGATGGCATTATGAGCCAGGAATCGTTTCCGTCTCATGATCCCAGGTGAGACTAGGGACTCTAGTTCGGAGGGGGAAATGGCACACAGAGTGCATCCCAGAAGCACATCCACAATATGAGCATGTGGCACTAGAGCTCTTATGGCTCACAGATGAAGCACTGCCAATCTCTGATTTGGAGGACTCCATCATCACAGAGCCTCCTTGCAGTGAAGGTGGAGCTTGCAACTGGGATACACCTACCACCATAGGGCTCCGTCTGAGGGCTTGTCCATGCTTAAGCTTGTCCCATGCCTAGACAGCATGGGTCTGAGAGGTTTCTGCTTGTCCCATGCTTTCTAGCCACAGGTCTGAGCAGTTTTTCTGTTTGCCCCACTGCTTTTCCTGGGACAACTGACTCTTCATTGCTGAATCAGAGCAAAAACCAATCTGCAGAAAACCCAATTGATGTTTACTCCAATTCAGTGGTAAAGAGGAGGAAAGCAGCGGGGAAAGCGTAAGTTTGGATGAGCCCTGGCTGTCGCTGAAGCAACACCTGAGCTCTTCTCGGTGCCTTGCGTAGCCGTCGGCCTAAGCTCTGCACAAGGCGTGGCCTGAGGACATTGCTTGCATCATACCAGGAAGTATACAAATGCCAAGACAGATTGAGAGAGGAGGCACAGGTAGCAGGTAGTATCTGATCCTCCTCAGTAGTTAGGGCTCTCTCTGCCTAAGATCCTGGACAGTTGTTGTTTTTTTAAAAGATATTTATTAAGGTTTCAACATTTTACAAAAATAAGGGAAAAAGGGGAAAAAAGAAAATACAAAGTAAAAACAGTTAAAAACAAATCATTTTTTCCAGATCTTATCTTTCATTTGCTTGTTTCCCTGACCTCCTCGCACCTCCCTTTTTTGTATTCCAGTTCAATTAATTAGTTCAGCAAATCCTTTCCATCTGTGATTTTATCTTAATCTTTTATCTTAATATATTATAGCTTTATATTATCACCTGTTAACAAACCATTTTATATATTCCTTTATAACATTACTACTAAAAACCACTTAACTTCAATCCAACATCATCCTAACATTCATTAATTTTGCAGTGTTTCTGTAAATAGTCTTTAAATTTCTTCCAATCTTCTTCCACCGACTCTTCTCCCTGGTCACGGATTCTGCCAGTCATTTCCACCAGTTCCATATAGTCCATCGCCTTCATCTGCCATTCTTCCAGTGTGGGTAGATCTTGTGTCTTCCAATACTTTGCAATAAGTATTCTTGCTGCTGTTGTAGCATACATAAAGAAAGTTCTATCCTTCTTTGGCACCAATTGGCCGACGATGCCCAGGAGAAAGGCCTCTGGTTTCTTCAGGAAGGTATATTTAAATACCTTTTTCATTTCGTTATAGATCATCTCCCAGAAAGCCTTAATCTTTGGGCATGTCCACCAAAGGTGAAAGAATGTACCTTCAGTCTCTTTACATTTCCAACATTTATTATCGGGCAAATGATAGATTTTTGCAAGCTTGACTGGAGTCATGTACCACCTGTATATCATTTTCATAATATTCTCTCTTAAGGCATTACATGCCGTAAATTTCATACCAGTGGTCCATAACTGTTCCCAGTCAGCCATCATAATATTATGTCCAACATCTTGTGCCCATTTGATCATAGCAGATTTCACCGTTTCATCCTGAGTATTCCATTTCAACAGCAAGTTATACATCTTTGACAAAATCTTGGTTTTGGGATCTAACAGTTCTGTTTCCAATTTTGATTTTTCCACCTGGAAACCAATTTTCTTGTCCAAATTATATGCCTCTATTATCTGATAATAATGAAGCCAGTCTCGCACTTTATTTTTTAGTTTTTCAAAACTCTGCAATTTCAATTTGTCTCCCTCTTATTCCAAAATTTCCCAATATTTCGGCCATTTGGCCTCCATATTGAGCTTTTTCTGTGCCTTCGCTTCCATTGGTGACAAAGATCCTGGACAGTTGTTCCCAGTTTGGGTTGATGGTAACTGGGCTACATCAGCCTTTCCACAAACTGGTGCCTTCCAGATGCTATGGACTAAAAGTCCCATCGTCCTTGGCTAGGGCTGATGGGGACTGTAGTCAAAAGCATACTGAGGATGCCTAGCCTACAAAGGCCAACAATATAAGGTAGTTTCTAATGCTCATGGCATTAGAAGTCACTAATGGCCGTGGAGGAAGTCACTTGCAGAGCCCAGAAGGTGACAACAAAACCTTTTGAGTTTCTGGTCCATGATCTCCATTTGATTTGGAGGCACCAATAAATCTCCTCGCCAAGGGTGGGAGAGAGCCTAGTTACGCCTCTGAACTTGGGGGAAGCCACAACATTTAAACTGCAATAAAGCTGGCATAAAGTTGTAGTAGTGTGGACAGGCATCTGACTGGAACTGGCTGGCAGAGAGAGGCAGCAATGAGTCACCTGCTCTCCTATGCAAAACCTAAAAAGCTGACAGCATCTTCTGATTTCTTTTCCATACAGTAGAGTTCACACTTCATCACTCTGGTGCTACACTCCAGCAACAAGCAGGGTAGCATTAGGCACTTCTAGAGAGAAGGTCCTCCACTCACCTCTAACTGCTCTCAAAGTTTTGAGCAAGCACGTGTGACTTTGGATCAGTCTGGAAGTCTAGGTGCAAGTCATCAAATGGGCATGAGGCTGAAGATGCCAGAACAAGCCTCTTCAAGCTGGGACTCACAGTGAAACCACAGGAGTTTTCTGGTTCCTTGTAGGAGGGAGCCCAGCATCCCTTTGGTTTGGACTTTCATCTGTTTGCATGCAGGACAAATGGATTTCGACCGTTCCACCGGCTGCATTGTTGAAATCCTGGCTTGCTTTTGAATTCAAAGTAGTTTGCAGTTGCTTTGGTGGAGGCTGGCATTTTATGAGAAGGTTGAAACACTTGTAAAACTGGAGGTGGGGGAAGGAAACCAAACAAAATGAGAAATTCAGCATGCAAGCGAAAACAAACAAGCTCACTGCAGTTAACTTGCGCAGATCTTTTTAGCCATCACATTCAATCCTCAATTTAGTTTCTTGCTTTGGATTCTCAAAGCAAGCAGCAGGCTTATGCTTTCCTGACTTCCCTGGGCAGAATAATCTGTTTTGTATCAAGCTTATTTATGGCAGTGAAGCCGCCTCCCCTACTAGCTAACTGAGCACCAAATGAGGCAAAGGAAGTCCTGGGGTTGGATCACCAGTGCCTTTGCACTCTTGCAAAAAGAAAAGAAAAGCTGGGGGCATTTGGATCAGCAGTGCAATGGAGGGGGGGCATTTTACACCACACCTACATTACCCCTGTTCTTAATTGCTCCCCAAAGTTACTACAAGTCTCTAAGAAGAAAATATGTAGGCATGATACTGATTTCTTTTTTCCTCATGGGCAGGGGGACCAACAGGAGTTTAGAGAGGAGAGACAGGCTTGAAACAGCAAAGGGACCTAAGTCTTGCTCCAGTTCATTTTCTCCCAAGTTGCTCTTTGCAAACATTTAAAGAGACAGAGGTTTAATCTCAGATCCCCACCATAGCGCAATGCTGCCGAAATGTCTGCAAACATCTCCATGACTTGGGGAGGAGATCTGTCAGCAAAAGCAAACATTCACAGCCCAGCTTTCATGAGAAAAGGTACAGTGGTGCCCCGCAAGACGAATGCCTCGCAAGACGAAAAACTCGCTAGACGAAAGGGTTTTCCGTTTTTTGAGTCGTTCCGCAAGACGAATTTCCCTATGGGCTTGCTTCGCAAGACGAAATGTCTTGCGAGTTCTTGCGAGTTTGTTTCCTTTTTCTTAAAGCCGCTAAGCCGTTAATAGCCGTGCTTCGCAAGACGAAAAAACTGCAAGACGAAGAGACTCGCGGAATGGATTAATTTCGTCTTGCAAGGCACCACTGTACTTGTGCTAAGACCAAAACTTCACCTAGGTCTCAAGGGAAGGCTAGGGTTGGCACAGGCCAAGGACTAAAAAGCAACTGGGAAGCAGTCATAAAAAGCAAAGAGCCTAAGGGTCAGAAAACCAAAGGTTTTTGGCAGCTCAACCAAAGCAGTGGAGCAACAGAGGGGAAGGGCTGTGGTAGAGCACCTGCTTTGCATGTAGAAGGACCCAGGTTTAATCCTCAGCATCTCCAAGGTAAGGCTGGGTGAGGCTCCTGCCTGAAACCCTGGAAAGCCTCTGCCAGTCAGTGCAGACAATGTTGAGCTAGGTGGACAAATGGTTTGACTAAGCATAAGCCAGCTTCTGGTGTTTGTTCCAACTCTAACATCCTAGAGAGCAACCAGATAAAGACCCCAATGGAGCTCCTGTGCTTTCAAGAACGGCATAGAAGGGAGAATCCCACCAGCTTTTGCTCCTATGGTCACGGCAGGATTGTAGCATAAGGGACCAAGAGGTGGTAGGCTGAATTTCAGGTGCTGCTTGGAAATAACTAGCCAACTAGCTTTGATTGCAGGCATGCTGGCTCCTCCTATGACCAGGTAGAAGGAGGAGGAGGAGGAGGAGGAGGAGGACCTCCAGGAAGAGGGGACCACAGTTGCTAAGGGAACGACTAGCCTCTCCCTGAGTCCAGTTTGCACCTCTTTCAATTGGCCCAGGCAGCTTGCTGTTCACCCACTCAGTCTTTCCCTATCCCTGCAGCAGCAAGCAGCTGGTGTGGGCTGCACATGCCTCACTTCCCTGCTCCTTGATTATGACTGACAGCTTGATGAAGGGGGGGTGCAGCTCTATTTGCTCAAGCGCCTCCTCGGATGCTGCAAACAACCAATCTGTGGCATTAGACAAAGGCTCCATCTGCATTATATATACAGCAGAATCACAGCACTTGCACCCCAAAGAATCATGGGAACTGTAGTTTGTAAAGCAAGTTTCTTGTTGTTTAGTCGTTTAGTCGTGTCCGACTCTTCGTGACCCCATGGACCAGAGCATGCCAGGCACTCCTGTCTTCCACAGCCTCCCGCAGCTTGGTCAGACTCATGCTGGTCAAACTCATGTCCAACCATCTCATTCTCTGTCGTCCCCTTCTTCTTGTGCCCTCCATCTTTCCCAACATCAGGGTCTTTTCCAGGGAGTCTTCTCTTCTCATGAGGTGGCCAAAGTATTGGAGCCTCAGCTTCAGGATCTGTCCTTCCAGTGAGCACTCAGGGCTGATTTCCTTCAGAATGGATACGTTGGATCTTCTTGCAGTCCATGGGACTCTCAAGAGTCTCCTCCAGCACCAGAATTCAAAAGCATCCATTCTTCAGAGATCAGCCTTCTTTATGGTCCAGCTCTCACTTCCATACATACTGGGAAAACCATAGCTTTAACTATACGGACCCTTGTTGGCAAGGTGATGTCTCTGCTTTTTAGGCAAGTTAGGAGACTCCTATTCCACTCAGAGAGCTACGGTTCCCAGCGTTCTCTGCAAAGAGGGATGGATTGTTAAAGCACGCTGGGAATCATAGAGTTCTGAATACCTACCAGCAATCAGCACCCTTTGCAAACTGCAGTTCCCAGGATTCTCTGGGGGGAGACATGGCTGTTTAAAGCTGTATGGCACTGCTTTTGTTGTACATAATGCCGATCAGCTCCTTCACACAGGCTGTTTGTCCTCCTGTCTTTCATACATCAAGTGATAAACACATGTGGGAAAACCAGTCCCATTTTTCCTGAGGCAGCTTGAATAGCCAGCCCACCCCTTCATGTGAGGCTCTCAATGGCCCTCAGCTCTATGGAGAGCACCATTGGCAGAGCATGAGACTCTTAATCTCAGGGTCGTAAGTTATGTTCCTGCATTGAACGGGGTTGGACAAAATGACCCTCGTGTTCCCTTCCAACTCTACAGTTCTATGATTCTATGAAAACACTGACTGGGTCACAGCAACAAGCATCCTAGCTCAGTATACTATCGCTAAGATTTCTGAAGAAACCATAGCTGACATAGTTGCTTGCTGCCACCTTGTGGCCATCCATGGCAATGTTGACATTTATGCCTGATTTCTAATTTACCAGTAGGGGGAATTCCTTGGCTCCTCAGATGTTAAAAGGTAAAGGTAAAGGTACCCCTGACAGACTCTAGGGTTGTGTGCTCATCTCACTCTATAGGCCGGGAGCCATCGCTGTCCGCAGACACTTCCGGGTCACGTGGCCAGCGTGACAAGCTGCATCTGGCGAGCCAGAGCCGCACACGGAACGCCGTTTACCTTCCCGCTGGTAAGCGGTCCCTATTTATCTACTTGCACCCGGGGGTGCTTTCGAACTGCTAGGTTGGCAGGTGCTGGGACCGAACGACGGGAGCGCACCCCGCCGCGGGGATTTGAACCGCCGACCTTGCGATCGGCAAGTCCTAGGCGCTGAGGTTTTACCCACAGCGCCACCCGCGTCCTCCAAATCCTTCCATTCCCGACCATTGGCCTTGCTGCCTGGGGCCAGTGGGTGTTGGAGTCCACAACACCCGGTGTGCCACAGGTCCCTAATCCCTGATCTACTTTAACTGGCAGCTCTCCTGCAAGAGCCCAGGCTGAGAAGGGTTTGTTCCCATCTGATCCTTTTTAAACAGGAGATGACTGGAGTGAACTTGGGAGTTTCCCCATACAAAGCATGTGCTCCACCACAAACTTATCTCCAGAAACCCAGGTCAGCTGTAAGCACCACCTGTCCCCAAACCAAAGTCTGGGTTTTGCAAGCTGGTGGTATATTCTAATATGCACCTTTCTCTCTTCTTCCCAACCACACACAAATTCTCCCTCCCTTTTATGGTTCACTGGAATCAGCTGGGGTTAACATGAACCAAGGTTGGTCTAAACCAGGGTTTGCTAAGCCAGCTTCAAACCATGGTTACAAATTACAGTTTGTGTGGGAACTCTAGCCGGCACCAGCTAGAGCTTAGCCCTGATGTGGAGCAAGAAACATGCAGTTCTGTGGTGAATCACTAAACTCAGCATCATGGGCTCAAGAGTAGTGCAATGGCAAGGGAATAGCAAAAAAAAACCCCACATACCCCTTTGGACTTTTGCAGCCCTAGTTACAGTCTGCGAAAGCAGAGAGGGAATTCCAGTTTTCTCCAGGGCTAGAATTTGAATTTGAAGCCTGTGGGGTAAGGGCAGAGAACTCACCAGTGCCCCTCCCAGCTCCTTACTGCTGCCAGCTACCCCCCCCCCACACACACACACTTCTATTGAATTCTATTATGATTCAAAGCAGCAACATGAAGCGGGGTGGGGATGTTACTAATCATCAAATGCAAAACAAAACATGCCCCTCCTTCACTGATGAACCCACTTGGGCACAAGTCTGAACCAGATCACAGGAGCCTGGGAAGCTGCCTTATACAGAGCCAGGGTATTAGTCCACCAAGCTCAATGATGTCTACACCAGGGGTCAGCAAACTTTTTCAGCAGGGGGCCGGTCCACTGTCCCTCAGACCTTGGGGGGGGTGGACTATATTTTGAAAATAAATAATGAACGAATTCCTATGCCCCACAAATAACCCAGAGATGCATCTGAAATAAAAGCACATATTCTATTCATGTAAAAACACCAGGCAGGCCCCACAAATCACCCAGAGATGCATTTTAAATAAAAAGACACAGTCTACTCATGTAAAAGCACGCTGATTCCCGGACCGTCCACAGGACAGATTGAGAAGGGGATTGGGCCAGATCCGGCCCCCAGGCCTTAGGTTGCCTACCCATGGTCTACACTGACTGGAAGTGGCTTCTCAGAGTTTCATGCTGGGGATTGAACTTGGGGTTTTCTGCATGGAAAGCAGGTGCTCTGCCACTGGGCTCTGGCCCTAGTAGATCTCCCTGGATGCTCTCCCACGAAAGCCCCACTGAAATGAGCCAGGGCTGCACTAGCAGTCTCTCCCTGCCTCCCTTCCAAGGAGCCCTGCCAGGCATTCTTGGGCAGTTTTTGGAGGCGATTGCTGTTTCCTGCCCTGGACCCCTTTTTCATTTCCCCCACCAGCCTGACTTTCAGCAGCACCAGTTTTCTGGATCTGGCTGCTCTTACTGATTTCCCACAGAGCACCCAACCTAGCGCCACACCAGAGCGCCGTGGGCAACAGAAAGGGTGGCTCTACCCAGGGACTCAGCACTGCTCCGAGAGCCTCCGCCAATGTCAAGTAAGCCTGCCAAGGCCTGCTACGCCTGGATGACGTCAAACCTGAAACTGACCCTGGGGCTTAAGCAGGAAAACTTCCAGGCATCCAGGATAGCTGTGCTCTCCAGCTGCTGATGGGGGCTGTGTGCCTATGAATATCAGCTCCATATTCAGAAAGCTCATAAACTTCCATGGGCACCACAAAATACTCATTTAGCAGAAGAAAACTGGCAATACTAAGACCCATCGCCCCATAGCTTAGTCGGTAGAACAGGAGACTCTTAATCTCAGGGTTGTGGGTTCAAGTCCAAGGTTGGGCAAAAGACTCCTGCACTGCAGGGGGTTGGACTAGATGACCCTTATGACCCTTTAGGGCAACTTGTTGGCTGCTGTGAGAACAGGATGGTCCTTTGGTCTGATCCAGCAGCCAGACTCTTATGATCCAATGGTCTGGTTCAGAGGTAACCTTTCTCAATCTCCAAATCTCTAACTTCACCTAAGAACAGGAAGCGTGAGAAACACCCTTGCAGCTATTTAAGAAAGGAGGCACAGATTGTATTTGTAGAACGAGCCACATGCTAAGTTGCCTGTTTTGCCATTAGCAGGTCACAAAAATGCTCACAGCTAAAGCCTCTCAAACAGTCCTTTGATGCTTTTTCTGCACATGCCTTTTCAAGCCCTTTCCCAAATCATCCCGGCTGTTGAAATATTTTGGTTCAAAACAGAGCAGAAGGAGGCTGGGAAGGTTTCACACTCTCCCATAACAATAGTGCTAAAATTGTACACTCCACACACACACAGCCACAAGCAGTGCTGCAGCAGCAACCTGCCAAGTCATGAGCAGCAGGTAAGAGTTGGTGATTTAAAGCTTAAACACACCTTGATGTTTAAGGATGATGATGAGGAGAGGCGGGTGGATTTGCAGAGCCAGGCAGCACAACACATTATTGCTGAGCACAGACTATTATAATACTGTATGTCAGTCAATGAGAAACTGTGTTTGTAGCAGCAAATGGATGCACAGCAGAAGTTAGAAAAGGGAGAGCAGAGGGAGAGGTTAGGACATTGGAAGCCAATGGTTGTACCCAATGCCTATGCCAAACCTCTTACATCTGTAGTCAATAAAGTTGTGGCCTGATTTGACCCAAAATAATGCTGTGCTGCCTGGTTATTCTCCATGATCTGCTCCACCGGGCTCTTCTGATGTTCCCATGATATGCTATCATGTTCTTACCTGCTTGTTCAAGAGGACGTAAAGGATGGGGTTCACAAAGGTGCTAGTCTTGGCCAGAATGGACGGGATGATGCTCACTGAGGGGCTGATTGTTCCGGGCTGGCCAAATGTCGCGATCAGGGAGACAATTCCATATGGCATCCAGCAGAGGAGGTAACAGGTGACCATTGACACAACCATGAACAGGATGTGATGTTCTCTTTTCTGAACAGATGGCAGGTGGAATCTACTGACCTGCTAAAATATGAGAGATGGGACATTTTCATAGAGTTTCTTCCTCATTGCACTCTGCACCACCTTACCCAAGGGCAGGTCATTCCCCAAATCATTTTTTTGCACCAGCTCCTTTAAGTCTTTAGAGCAACGTTCTGAAACCTGGGGCCCTCTGTGTGGTTCAGGAGATGTCCCAGTAGCAAAGGTATTTATTTGCAAGCAGCCCCTTCAGTTTCTTCTGACAGCTTCCTGGGTGTGCAAGAACATAAGAGCCACCAGTGGCCCATTGAGTTGGGCATCCTGAGGCCCACAAGCAGGACCTGAGCACAAGAGCCTTCTCTCCTCCTACAGTTTCCAGCAGATGGTATTCAAAAGCATCCCTGCCTCCAACAGTGGAGGCAGAGCAAAGCCATCAGGGTTAGCAGCAGCCAGTGACAGTCTTATCCTCCAGGGATTTGTCCTTGTGGGAGTGAGTGCCATAGCTTAACTGTGCATCTGTCCTGAATCTTCTAGTGTTATGAGAAGGAGGAAAAATTGCTTCTATCCACTTCCTCCATACTATGCATAATGTTTTATTTTCTATCATGCAACCTACTGTATTTTCTTAAGGGAAAAAGGTCCAAATGCTGTAACCTCATAGGGGATAACTGCATCCCCTTGATCATTTTAATTGGCCTTTTCTGAAACCTTTCTGGCATCTGCTTGTCCACTGTTGGAAATAGCACACGGGGTTGATGGACCAGTAAGATTCCTCTCACCTTCTTATATGGACTTAGCAATACAGTGAGATTGCAATTCTATTCACTTGCCTCTTTGTTTCCAACCCTTCTTTCCAGATGTGGGGAGCATTTGCCACTCCAGATGTTGTTTGAATAAAACTCCCACCAGCCCCACCCAGCATAACCAGTGGTCAGGGATGATGAGAATGGTCCAACCCAACTGGAGAGCACCACGTCTTGGAAGGAAGCCTTGTTATGACTGTTCATTATTACTCTGTAACAATACAGGGCCAGCTTCGTGGTTTTTGGGATGGGGGATCATAAGAAAAGCTAGATCAGGTCAAATGGGAAGCATGCAAACAGGACCAGTCTGCTGCAACATCACTCTCCCTACCTGCTATTTCCAGCAACTGGTGTTTGGGTTCAACAACCTCTGGAGGGCCAGCTGCTTCCCCAAACACTCTAGTCGTGCAAAAGCCAGAGGTTTCCACACACATGCACAAGCCCACATCCAAGAAAGATAGAGGGTCTGCCATCATCTCAGGACACATTTTTTGCAAGGTGAAAGCACTCAGACATGGTGCTATGCAAGGTTGTGGGGAGAAATATTGGCCTGGGGAAAGTTTCAAGGTCTGAATAGAAAGGCCTTGAGGGTCACATCTGGCATCCAAGTTTCCACACCCAAGGCTGGCACATCTGCACTGACAGGAAGCTGCTTCCCACAGGGAGCATTTCACAGCCCTACCTGGAACCTTCTGCAAGCAGAACCCATGCCCTACAGCTAAGCTATGGCCCCACCCCTAAAACTAAATATTCTAGTCCTCATGCCTCTGAATAAATGGGGTACCATTGAATTGTGTCCCTTCCCCAAATCATCTGATTCAGTACAAAGCAGAAGAATATGTTCAAAGCCTGGCATTGCCTTTGCTATTTATATAAGGAGAATATATCACACTGCTTCCCATGTTACCCTTGCTGTTAATCTGCTTCTATTCTATTCAAAAATCATTTCTGGAGGCTCTGCTCTTTCTTTAGAAAAAAAAAGTCAATGACAGTAATTGTCTCATTGTCCCTGTGATTTTTCTGAAGCCGCAGAATGCAACTTTCAGCTCTTACACAACTGCCAGCTGTTAGAATTCACAGCTACCTCTCAATCCCTGGGAACTTCAAAATGCCGCTGTGATTCAACCATTCATAAGCTTACACCAGAAGTAAATGTTCTTCTCTCTTGAAGTAGGATTCTATAAATAAGGGGAGGGAGACATTTTGTGCAAGTTGCACAATCCTCTGTGGAAGCCCTTCTGATTTTTCTGTTTCCCCTAAATCGCTGGCCTTCCTCTTCTAGCCATTTAACTCTGAAGCATGTTTCATAAGGAATTGCTCTCAGAGGTGAAGATGGAAGAGCTCCTAGACACAGCTCCAAACAAGAGACACACCTGCCTCTCCTAACAAATCCAAGCTAACAACCACAGGCGAGCAACGTGACGTGTGCGCACACACGACTGCACCACCACATTCTGTCAAAGAGGTTAGGGGGCTTTGGTTTACCTTTCTAATCATCAGCAGGATTTTCCCATAGCAGTAGATCATCGTCAGGAGGGGCAAGACGAGGCAGAAGATGAAGAGGCAGATGATGTAGGAGAAGTTGCTGGGAGACTTGGCATGCCAAGAGACAGAGCAAGTCGTGCCGGGCCCTTCGGGGCCATAGCTGCTCCAGCCGAAAAGAGGCGGCAAGGTCCAGAACAAAGAGTAGATCCAGGAGCCAATGATGCAAAGCCAGGACTTGGTGTAACTGGACACAACTGGCTTGGTCTCCCTCCGCAGGACCGTGGCATAGCGTTCGTAGGAGAGGATGGAAAGAGACACAAGGGAAACGATGCCTGCAAGAGAGAGAGCGGCCCAGAGTTAACAGTTCAAAGATCTGCTTTTCGAATGCTGGAATGTAAATCTGTGATGTTGGAAGACAGATGGTATCCAGCTCAGGAAGAAGAAGGAGGAGGAGGAGGAGGAGGAGGAGGAGGAGGAGGAGGAGGAGGAGGAGGAGAAGAGTTTGGACATGACATCCCGTCTTTCACTCCCCTTAAGGAGTCTCAAAGTGGCTAACAATCTCATTTCCCTTCTTCCCCCACAACAAACACTCTGTGAGGTGAGTGGGGCTGAGAGATTTCAGAGAAGTGTGACTGGCCCAAGGTCACCCAGCAGCTGCATGTGGAGGAGCAGGGACAGGAACCCGGCTCACCAGATTACGAGACTACCACTCTTAACCACTATACCACAATCATCACCAGAGGTCCTTCTCCATGTGCCCCTTCCACGGCGGGGGGGGGTGTCTGGAGGGGGGGGCAGCACAAGAAAGGGCCTTTTCAGTGGTGGTTCCTTGCTTGTGGGATGCTCTCCCCAAGGAGGTTTGCCAGGCAACATCATTACTTACCATTATGCACCAGGAAGAAAAAAAACATTTCTCTGCAGTGCTAAACAGTTGGTCCCTTACCTCTTTTGCCCTGATCTTGTCACTGTGATCCATGCGACGGTCACCTCCAGGCTTGATTATTGTAACTCACTCTACATGGGGCTGCCCTTGAGACCGATCCAGAAACTCCATCGGGTGCAGAATGCCACGGCGAGACTCCTTACAGGGTCCTTGCCATGGGATCACAGTCACCCGGTGCTATACCAGCTGCACTGGCTCCCGGTGGAGTACAGGATCAGGCAGTGGCGTAGCGTGGGGGGTGCAGGGGGGGCCGGCCGCACCGGGCGCAACATCTGGGTTAGGGCAAATCCACAGGTTAGGGGGCGCAAATCCACGGGTTAGGGGGCGCAAATCCACGGGTTAGGGGGCGCAAATTACTTGCCTTGCCCCGGGTGCTGACAACCCACGCTACGCCACTGGGATCAGGTTTAAGGTGCTGGTTTTAATTTTTAAAGCTCTATACGGCCTAGGACCCTCGTACCTTATGGTATGCAAATAATAACACCTTGGAGATCCCGGGCCTCTAGGCTGGCCTCAACCAGGGCCAGGGGCTTTTCAGCCTTGGCCCTGGCCTGGTGGAACGCTCTGCCACAAGAGATCAGGGCCCTGTGGGATTTGACATCTTTCCGCAGGGCCTGCAAGACGGGGTTGTTCCGCCTGGCCTTTGGTCAGGGCTCAGCCTGACTCCCGTTTTCTTTTTCTATAAGAACTAATATGAAAGGGGCCTCCCAGCATTCTCACAGGCCCATATAAGACCAGCATAAACAGTTGGGCCGATGAGCACTTACTGATCCCAACCCTAACCCTGAGGAAAGCTATCTAATTAGACTTTAATTTGATTTTGACCTGTTTTTAGGAGGTAATTTAATTATTGTTTGATTTTCTACCAATGTTAGCCGCCCTCAGTCTAACTTCGTCCGGGGAGGGTGGGATATAAATAAAAGTTTATTATATTATTTATTATTCATTTCTGCCAAGCCTTTGGCTTTTAACTTTTTGGGTGGAGTGGGATGTTTTAGTCTTGCCTTTTAAAACTGTGGGTGAGTTTTAGCTTTTTCTCTGGGTTTTGTTTTTTTAATGCAGGATTTAATGTATGTGTCATTCATTTATTGCCGTAAGTTGCTTGCAGTTAAATTTGTCCATAAAGTGACTAGTAAGTTTGATGGATAATAATAATTATATCAATAATACGGGGGGGGGGGGGAGGAACAGACCCTGCATTTCTGTGCATCAGACTGCTCAGGAACCATTAGCTGATTATCATTTGCTAGGGTATTGTGCTTTAATTCTATGGCGTATATGCAGTCAGTGAGGACCCCTATGAAGGGGAAGGGCGGGGCTGGAGGGCAGGCAATGGGTATGGATAAGGCTAAAGGATTGAGCCTACCAGACCCAAAGCTTTGCATCGCCACATTCAGCCTTGCTCAACCTTTTGGTCGTATAGCAGAGAGAAAGAATGGGGAACCTTGGTCTCAGGAGCCACATGTGGCCCTCCAGGCTTTTCTGCCTGGCCCTCAGAATCCTCCCCAGGCCACACAATCTGAGTGTTTTTGCCTAGCTGGTCTGTGTCCTTGAACTCTGATAATGCCTCTTGCTTGCCTGGACAGAGAATATCTCTGTGTGGGTGTACATAGCACTACTGCTCAAAAGCAAAATCTGCATTCATTGCTCAGCTTACTTTTGCCCTTAGGCTTGCCCATCACTGGCATGTGGCCCTCAAAAGGCTATCCAAAAGGGAATGTGGCCCTTGGGATGAAAAAGGTTCCCTAGCCCTGGTGAAGAAGAGCAACCCAAAGATTGCTGAATGGGTGGCCAGGTTAGTCTCTTGCAGGGGAAAGAAACAGGCTTGCAACCCCTGACACATTTATTACAGCACATGACTTCATGGATTGCAACTAAAAAGGGGGGGGGTTAAAGGGACACAGGTGGCGCGGTGGTCTAAAGGACTGAGCCTCTTGGGCTTGCCGATCAGAAGGTCAGCGGTTTGAATCTCTGACCTTCTTTTGACCTTAAAGATAGTGGCTGTTTATGGTCATTTCACACATTGCGTCTTTAGATGTACACCCAAAAAATGTGACCTGTGGATGCAGCAAATGCATGTTTGGAAAGACGGAAAGGACAGGGTCCCAGGACACACATGGTGGGTGGGCATAGTGAAGGTTTAGGGCTGGTCAGTACACAGAATGGAGACTGTCTAGGGTGGAATCTAGGCACATATAAAAGATGCTAAGGAAATGTTTAAAAAAAAGTTTTAAAAAGAGATTGAATTGATCAAAAGCTCGCCATCGCCATCTAGTGTAACGTTTGTATAATGCACTTAAAACGTTTGCAGCTGTATGGCTGAGTCCTAAGATTCCTGAATATGGAGATTGGCTTGAAAGTGCATGAACAGTTTTGAAAGTCTGGAGGAGTTGCAGAGTCAAATTGCCAATGGTCTTGGTACAGCGGAATAACTTTTTGCCTTTCTCCACGACCAGCAAAGCAACAGTAAATTATACAAATAATAGTTTTTAAATGCAACATAAATTGGGCAAAATAAGAGAAGCAATTATGAAAACTTGCATCACTTATACAATTTGCTAAATTTTGGGGGCCAGAAATGAAAAGTCAGATCTACACCGTACATTTAAAGCACCCTTTAACAGCAATAGTTTTCCCCAAGGAACTGTAGTTAAAGGGTGCTGGCCTCACAGAGTGACAATTCCTATCACACTTAACAAGTCCCCAGGATTCTCCATGACTGTTCTGGAGCACTTTACTGGTATGAATGGGACCAAGCCCAGCATATAGCTTTGGTCAAGGCTGGGTCAACTCTATGGCTTCCTCTGGTGTGGTCTCCACATAGCTAGGGTGCTGTAACAGCTAGCATTTAGAACTGTGAAGGAGAAAGGTGGTAGTTAAATCTAATAAATCAATACATAAATGAACTGGAGCTTCAGAAATTTCGATGTTTAAAACCACGCAGGAACCTAAAGGCAAACCCCTCTTGCTTTCCCAAATATTCCACGCGCCTCCTCCCCCAAACCAGAGCCTTGCTCTAAAAACCTACCAAAGAGGGAGTTGGCGAAGCCGTACCACTTGCAGCCGGCCTTGCCTAGGAGCCAACGGCCGCGCACGCTGGAGGCGAAGCTGAAAGGGGTCAAGAAGACGCAGACCAGGAGGTCGCTGAGGCTGATGTTGAGCAGGATCAGGTTGATGGGTGTCCGGATGGCCTGGAACTTGACGAAGATCAGCATCACCAGGAGGTTGCTGAGGCTGCCCAGGAGCAAGATGACGCCCAGGCACACAGCCATCGTCAGGTGTCCCGTCCGTCCCAGGCTCCCAGCAGAAGAGTCCAGCAGCTGGCTGTCGAAACTCAAATTACCGGCGCTTCCTGCCGCGCTCTGGTTGAAAAGGTTGAGGCTCCGGTCGCCCAGCGCCAACCGCATAGCAGCAGCTTGCTCCAAGCCCTTGGGGTGCGGATTTGGTAGAAATTGTCAGGGCACCTCGCGACTTAGGACAGCCTAACACTCGAGCAGCACAGTTCCTAGAGAGGCGTGTGGGCAGCAGCTGGCTCTGCCCTAACCTTCCCGGAGCACCTTCTCCAATCAAGCCCTCAAGTACAGATTCTTCTCCAGAGGGACCCACGCGCCCAGCCCAACCCCTGAAGCGGGCGAAATCTGTGCGCCTTTAGCAGAGGAGCATGGACCCACCAGGAAGCCCCTTGGCCGCAACGGAGCGCAAATCAGGGAAAGAGGACGGGAGCTGCGTATTCGCGCAGCAGTGCACGCTGCCTTGAGCCGGAGACACAGGGAAGAGTTGAAGGAGCGCACCTTTCAAGCGTTGCCCCTCCTGCCTCGCCACGATTTTCTAATGCGAAGTAATGCTGCGCAAAGTTGTGCCCTGTCCTAGTGGTGCCCGCGCATGCACGGTGATCCCTGTGCCTTTACACTTATGAAGACACGCGAGGAGACCAGAGGCCGACGTGAGCCCTCGTTTTGTTTATGGCACAACGCCCGCCCACCCCCACCCCGCCTCACGCAACCGCCTTTAACAAAGCCCTACCCCTTGGAGGGCGAGAGGGACCGTTCTTGTGCCTGCAAAGGGGAACCAAAGACAACGACCCCCACCCTTACCCGGCAAGGCAGTGCAGAAAGCAAGCCTTGCGCGGAGAGAGCTCTGCCTCCCGCGACCCTCTCCTCGCGCCTTTCCAATAGCAGGAACTCTAGACTCTAAACTATCTTTCCCTGTAAGGGAGAGTGGGAGTCCCGCGCGCTTTCGACACGGCTGTTCCGCAGCGGCTCCTCACCAAGCTCCTAGGCGGATCACCAAACAAAGCGGCTTTGGCGCGTCAGATTTTATACATTTGCTCTGGCTCAGTCAAAAGCAGCGCCGCGACAACGAAGGGATGGAACTGCCTTCTAGAAGGGAGGGACTGCTCCACCGCAGTTGAGTGATCCGAACCACGCCTCCTTTTTACTTTCGCTTCGCCACCTTGCGAGGGGAAACAGGAAGGGTCTTCTACATCGGGTGGAGCAAATAGAGGGAAGGACCTCCCCCCCCCCCCAACACACACATAATACTAGAGCTCGAGGCTGTCCAGCGACAGCAGACGATTCTAGATCGGTAAAAGGAAAAGACCTCTAGCCGCGCAACGAAGACTTGGATGTAAGGAGCATTATTTGCCAGGAAATACGGTGAAGGGTTTTTTAAAAATATATAAATCACGCTGTTTAATCGGTTTAGAATTACTCTGATAGCTATTGTTGTGTTTGAAAACTGTTTTTGAAATGCAGATTTGACTGGAACATGCGCCCAGAAGGAAGGAGGAGGGCTGGAGAAGATGCGAGAAAGGTGTCAGCACGTGCTGCCTTGGGAGAGACGTGTAGCTTTGTTGTATGGAATCAAATGCTTCTAGATGCCTTACTCACTTTTTTGTTATTTCTCTATGAGACAAATATTTTACAGATCCCACAGCTGGGTCAGATACTCATTGCTGGGGGGGGGTGATATTGTGAGCTTGGGTTGGGGACCAGATCCCCCATAATCTCTACATTATGTGAAATGTTAAGAGTTTGACCAAATGCATGAGAAACTGATCTACGAAGTGAAAGTACTGGGAGCCTTGGATTGCAGGCTCACAATTATTAATTATTACAGCATCCTAATAACATCCACATCATCAGATGCCTGAAGTTGGCTCCTGATTCTTAATTTCATACAGTCCTTTGAATCCTTAGGTTCATATATTTGGACAAATTCATAAGGCTAAGGTTATCGGTGGCTACAGCCATGAAGACTATCTGCCTCCTCCACTGCTGGAGACAGTATGCCTCTGAATGCCTGGTGCTGGGCATCAACATTAACAGACCTCGCATCTTGGGTGAATTGGATTGAAAAGATCACTTACAGTTTCTGGAGTTCAAAGGCTTTATTCACAGAATGGACTATTTACAAGATAAGCAGAGCTGAGAGAGAAATAGCAGAAATCCTATCTCAACAAGCTGGAAGAGGACAACAAACAAATAATGGCTCTACTTTTAGGGGTGGAATTAACTTTGAGTCTTAGACAAAGTGAAGACTACAAGCAAGTGCTCGCTAGCTTGCAAGACAAATAGTGCCCTCATGTGGTTTAAAGTAAAAAAGGTAAAGGGTAAAGGGACCCCTGACCAGTCGTGACCGACTCTGGGGTTGCGCTCTTTAGGCCAAGGGAGCCGGTGTTTGTCCGCAGACAGCTTCTGGGTCATGTGGCCAGCATGACTAAGCCGCTTCTGGCGAACCAGAGCAGCACACGGAAATGCCATTTACTTTCCCGCCGGAGCGGTATCTATTTATCTACTTGCACTTTGACGTGCTTTCGAACTGCTAGGTTGGCAGGAGCAGGGACCGAGCAACGGGAGCTCACCCCGTCCGTGGTTTAAAGTAGCACATGCATAAATTAATTCAGGAGAAGGAAAGGTATTGCTTTTCTCCAGCAATCACAAGTGTGTGGGGCAGGAATGTGGCAGGTCCTGCTTAGAGTTTACCTAGTGACAACTGGCATGATGCAACCAAAATAACATTTATTTTAATTCTGGTGTATGTGTGTGGGAGAGACAGAGAGAGAGATTTAAGCAAATACTTAACTTTCCCATTATAGGGCTGCATATGTCTCTGGGCCTCATTGAGCACAGTGGTACTTGCTTCTGGGCAGTGTTCGAAACTCCCATTGTTCTAGGCACATTTTGCAACAGGGAATTTAATTAGTGTGAGCAGTGTTTGAGCTCTGGGCACAGTACTGCCCCTAAGATTTCAGATTAAAGCTGCAGAGTGGAAGGAAAGGAGGACCTTTTTTCTGCCTCCCCACTTCCAGCTACTCTCTGAAGACAGGAGAAGAGACCCTCTTAAGAATATTAGGGGGGTTAGCAGGGGAACGCGGGTGGCGCTGTGGGTAAAAGCCTCAGCGCCTAGGGCTTGCTGATCGAAAGGTCGGCGGTTCGAATCCCCGCGGCAGGGTGCGCTCCTGTTGTTCGGTCCCAGCGCCTGCCAACCTAGCAGTTCAAAAACACCCCCGGGTGCAAGTAGATAAATAGGGACCGCTTACTAGTGGGAAGGTAAACGGCGTTTCCGTGTGCGGCTCTGGCTCGCCAGATGCAGCTTGTCACGCTGGCCACGTGACCCGGAAGTGTCTCCAGACAGCGCTGGCCCCCGGCCTTTTAAGTGAGATGGGCGCACAACCCTAGAGTCTGTCAAGACTGGCCCGTACGGGCAGGGGTACCTTTACCTTTTTATCCTTGTTATAAAAAAGCACACCTAGACATTCCATTGCTGCACCCATAACATTGGTTTAAAGTGCCATTTAGCTCCTAGCTTTCATATCTCAGTTTCTAACCCTGCTTCTGGGTAAACATGTAAAGTGCTGAATTTGGGCAAGATGGTGCCCTGTCTAGGCACTTGCTTTTGAGCAGGCATAGGCAAACTCTAGCCTCCAGATGTTTTGGGACTACAATTCCAATCATCCCTAGCTAACAGGACCAGTGGTAAGGGATGATGGGAATTGTAGTCTCAAAACATCTGGGGGGCTGGAGTTTGCCTATGCCTGCTTTTGAGGATCCAAAGCTAAACCAGCAAAGTTTGCCAATAAAATTATAAATTCAAAGATCATCTTATTAACCATCTGTGGGTTCTATCCTGCTACTTTTTACTCAAAGCCGATGCACTGGAAAGTAAGAACAGGGTTTACATCCATTAATTTCTATTCATGTCCTGCCTATTTCTCTCAATTTCACAATGGGCAAAATTCTGTTTCATGTATTGTTTCAGAGACTGCAATTAGGTAGGCTCACCTTTAAATGTAAGCTGAATTTAATTTCTTCCTTTATCCCTAACTCTTGAGTAAAACTTAGTTGGATCAAATCCTACATCATCAGAAAAATCAGCCTCAAGTAACTACTATGCTAGTTTTCTGAGTGATGTGTAACTCTCGGGTGAGTTTTTGGAGCAGGCGCTATAAACCAGACATCATGCGACCACAACTTTTTTCATGGGTCTTTGTTCATGTCTGGTGACTTCTTTCATTGCCTTTAAGTTGCCTCTAGTGGCTTCTTGAAAGAGGGTTACTAGACACACACACCCCTTGTCCTTGTCTGATGTGCCTCTCTTCACAATCCTACTTTCCCCCAGAGAGTCAATCTAAGCAAGACAAGCCATTTGAGCATAGCCATAAAGTTCAAAGCCACCTGCCAGCCCAGTCATTGAGCCTGCAGAGGCCTGTTCAATTCCCTCAGAATGAAGAAAACTTCTGTGGCTGTGGGGAATACCGTAACAGTGGGAGCTCTTGCATCCTGTGTGCGGGCTTCAGGTTGGCTGCTATGGTGCAAACTTAGGTAAGCCAGGAGTCCGCAACTTTTGTGGGTTTAGGTGAACATTTGGACATGTAAGAAACTGTCATGGTTGCCACAGAACACCCATTTCACTGAAGAAAAGTGGGAATACTGAGACCCACCCCAAAACAAATAGGCAAAACATCTACTAAGCACACCCCAAAATAAACACAATAAAGTAGGCCACATCTCCCAGCTAACAGGGCTCTGATGGGCGACGGCTGCTGCTGCTGGAAGCAAGAAGCTTCTGAATACTATTTGCTGGAAGTCGTGTGGAGAATGGCTTTTGCACTCAGGTCCTTCCCATTAGGGTATCTGGTTAGCCACTGAGAGAACGGGATGATGGGTTACATAGGTTTAGATACGCAAGGCTCTTCCATTACTAGCAACCTGCAGTCCTGACACTATTACCTGCTGCTTGCTCTTTGGGGGTGTGGGATAATATGCAGAGACCATTCTGCTTTCAATTTACTGACTTGAAAATCATGGTGCCAACCCAACCACAGGCAAACAAGCAGCAACAACAAAGAGAGAGGGCGGTATATTTTCTCTGTCCTCCTTTATCCTCTAAGGAAGGTGTGAGAAACCTTTGGCTCTGTGGATGTCACTGAACTACAGCTTCCATGCAGCTTAGCAAGCAAGGCCAATAGCCAGGGATGGTGAGAGCTGTAGTTCAAGAACATCTGGAGGGCCAAAGGTGTTCTAGTGATAACTCAAGAAATTAGGACTGTGTTGAAAACACCCACAGACTTTATTCAGCCTTGGCCCTGTATACCTTAAGGAGCGTCTCCACCCCCATCGTTCAGCCAGACACTGAGGTCCAGCTCCGAGGGCCATCTGGCGGTTCCCTCCCTGCGAGAAGTGAGGTTACAGGGAACCAGGCAGAGGGCCTTCTAAGTAGTGGCACCTGCCCTGTGGAACGCCCTCCCACCAGATGTCAAGGAGATAAAGAACTACACAACTTTCCGAAGACATCTTAAGGCACCCCTGTATCAGGAAGTGTTTAATGTTTGATATTTTACTGCATTTTTAATATTTTGTTGGGAACGGCTCCAGTGGCTGGGGCAACCTAGTCAGAGGGGTGGCATATAAATATTATTGTTGTTATTGATCCCACAAACATAAGCTGCAAATTTGTTTCATCTTTTTACAAGTGCTCTGAATTTGTGTTAAACTGTGAGGGATTTACTGCTGCATTTTGAAATATTTCAAACTATAGGTTGTTAATCCAATTTTGAGGAACTTCTTTTTGTTCAAAGGCATCCCTGTAAGTCAGGGCTGGGGAAGCAAGTAGCTGGGCTACAGATTCCATCATCCTTGGCAATGCTGGCCGGGGCTGATGGGAGCTGAAATCCAGCAACATCTGGAGGGCCCCAGGTTGGAGAAAGCTTCCCTAAGATTACCTAACTGCCCCGCTGATGCCATGAAGAACAATCTCCCTTATTGTGGACCATGTTTTACTTGGCCAAAAACCCCTCTGCCTAATTCATGAAGCAAGTTGGTGGGTACACATATATATTCATAAACATAATGGTGCATTTTATTTAAGCAAGTGCATGCATAATAAGCACTGTACACAGATTTAAAGAAAACAAGTGCTTGCTTAGTCAATCTACAATGTAAGAGACTTGTCACAAAATGAGGGTGGGGAGAGAGCTACCAGATTTACAATAATCCAGGCACACTTCCTGCTCGGTAGGACTGTGCATCAGATCCTAAACAGGGTCACTTGGCTTTGGTTGAGACAGCCCTTGATTGCTCAGGACCCACCCAGAGTGATCTGAGGCTGTTGAAAGGCAAGGTGATGGGGGAGGGTGGAAGGAAGAGAAGAGGCTGGTAGCCTCTGCTGGGTCTACTTCATCAGTGATTCCTTGCAGGGAACACACCACAGAAGCGACACCTACAACATTAAATGCAGTGTCTCCTTCTCCCATCCGTTCCTGATCACATATTTAATTAGGGGTTTAAAACCCCAATTAGGCATTAGGGATGCCCCCCCCCAAACAAATCAAATCAGGGCCCAGATCCAGATTGGGTCAGGTCAGCCCAGTATTTTCCTGCTTTGGATAGGGGTTGATCTGAAGTGCTGAATCTGACTCATCCTTTAGGCTTGGCTCTTTGGCACACTTGCTGAAGAGGCTGGCAGTAGTAGACCTTGGCATCTCAAATCTCAGTGGTGCCCTGTGCGACGACACACACACACCTGCCTCTTGCCTTCCATTGAACTTCATAGTTGTGGGCCTTCTGCTGCATCCCAGAAGCTCCATGCCCAGTGTAACCAACCCAGTCACACACCTCTAGCTCTGCCCTTGAGG